TTATTCATAATATTCTTTGTACAATCCCACATGTCGGTATAAGCCCCGATTTTCTAATTTCGTTTTGGAAACTTGAAAAAAAGACGCATTTTTGGAGAGAAATTTTTTTTTTATCCATTTTTCGAAAAAAGGGCCTAATAGAGTCCTGGACATACGTTTTCCGAACAAGAATATCTAAATTTTATGGCATTTTTCTACAAATTATGCCCAGGAAACGGTATAAACGTTTTCGTAGTTCCCCGTTTTTCCGCCAGGGGTACTAGTTTGACTCCTGTATACCCTTAATTACATTTTATGATAAAGTATAGATTATTTGAAACACTGCCATCTACAGGGCGACTGTTCCACTCTTCAGCTGGTTCAGCACGCGCATAACGTATCTATGTAGTCGAATTACTTGGTGTTTTTCGATTGTGTGATTATTGAAGTGTTTTGTTCAGAATGCTTTGGTTTTTTTATCGGAGCCGATACATGTGTCTGTGCTGCACAAGTTAGATATTTGACGGTTACGAGATTCGTATCGTATTACACTTGAAAAATTGATTACTCGCAGAATATGCGAAACTGAGAAAGTCGAGAATGAAACCGGATGAGCATACATTCGTCGTTTGCACTCCTTGAATTGATTCATTTTCCAGTGAGTATCTGTATCGAATAATATCTAACTCGATACCTGTTTCAATTGATATTCTGTTACTCCTCTTCCTAATCACTAGTGTCTCTAACCCTTTCCTCGTTAGCTAATGCACCAAGTCCCTTAATATATTTCTACCTCCTATTAACCTATGGTCACGCAAGGCGGACATTATTTACCTATTTATCTCGATGTATGTATAAAAGTTGTCAGTGTACACATCAATTAAATAGTTTTCTCCTCTGTACGAAATAATCAAGAATTATCTGATATGAAAATGTATTTTTAACATATAGTACTACCTGTGTTATAGATATAGTATATTATTCTCCTGAGATTGCAATAAGATGTTCCCTATTAGATAAATTTCCACAGTTTCTACATGCGAATCATTTCATTTAGAAGATGTTGTTGTAATTAGATCCTTTATTTTGTTATTTGGCGCATTCATAAGTTATTAATCTGATTTTTCTATTACGTGATATACTTGCATTAGGAAAATTCCCTCCGCCAAAGATTAACATTCTCATTACATAATACATGTTTAACTACAGAGATATTGGATGTAGATTCATGTAATTGTACAGAGTATCAAAGAAAGTAAAAAATTGTCTGGCTATAATTATTTTTTTTCAAGCGAGAAGCCGTAATGGTATTCATAAGAATTTGTGAAGTAGATGATAAGAGATAAGAGAGATAAAGTCATTTTGGTAATAAAAAACTTATGTCATGTTACTTCGTTCCAGGATATATAAGTAACAAAGATGTCTGTACATTACAAATTCAAATCCACTTTGGATTATGATACCGTGTCCTTTGACGGATTACACATTTCCGTGGCAGACTTGAAAAAAGCTATTTTTCACCAAAAACGAATCGGGAAGAATACTGATTTCGATCTACAAATAACGAATGCGCAAACTAAAGAAGGCAAATATTGAATACCTATTTATTCGTTTATTCATTACAATTAGGATGGTGCTGTCATTTTCATTTAACTACTTTCAGACTACACCGATGATAATGCATTGATCGCGAAAAATACTAGCCTCATCGTTGCTAGAGTTCCATTGACCGTCCAGCAGAAGCGATCATGGGACAGAAATGAAACTCCTTCATTTAGTAACTTGAAAGATGAATCTAATTTAGGTAGAGCCGTGGACCTCACGAGGCTCGACGGTTCCGAGGAAGATAAAATTCGAGCGATGATGACTCAATCTACGCAAGATTATGATCCATCGAAGTATGCAACGAGTTGAACTTCGATTAATTCTCTAGTGTCGATTCAACATTAACGTTTTATGCTTTTTCAACAGTTATATGAAAATACGTGGAGCTAATCAAACTGGCGATGTACCTGCAAATTATCGTTGTTACAAATGCCATCAGCCTGGACACTGGATCAAGAACTGTCCGCTTGGATCGAATCAGGAACCGATAGAAATTAAGAAAAGTACTGGTATCCCTAGAAGTTTCATGGTTCCAGTCGAGGGACCAAGAGTTCCGGGTGCTATGATGACACCAACGGGTCAATACGCTGTACCAGCCATTGATCAGTAAGTTTCGATCAATCGATAATTATATCTGATTTACGCAATGGTTCTTTAAATTTGTTTCTTATACCTCCAGTCAAGCTTACAAGGAAGGTAAAAAGGAGCGTCCGCCGTTTTCTCAAGATCCAGAACCCATCGTGGAAAAGCCTGAAATCCCAGAGGATTTGCTGTGCAATATTTGCAAAGATCTTTTGACGGATGCAGTAATGATACCATGTTGCGGCAATTCGTTCTGCGATGAATGTGAGCCATTTATTCTTCACAAATGTGACATCGTATAATCTTTTAAGGGGAAGTTCTAATATTAATTATGTAACAGGTATTCGTACATTCTTATTGGAATCTGAAGAACACGAATGTCCAGATTGCAACGAAAAGGACGTTTCTCCGGAGACTCTTATTCCAAATCGATTTCTGCGAAACGCCGTGATGAATTTTAAAAATGAGACTGGATACGCTAAGAGACAAACATACAGGCAGCCTTCGCAATCGAGCAGACACCCTGCCCCAACGTCAGAACAGCAGAAGCCGACTGACCAAACAACAGCGCAAGCCTCGAACCAAAGTAAAGCAGCTCAACCCTCAAATACAAATAATACGCCCTCTCAAGAATATACAGAACCGCAAGCGACAAATTTCGAATCGGGTCCAGCTAGATCTACACAACCACAAACAAGTAAGTATTCTTAAAAGGTAACAAGAAGAAAAGACATAGAACCGTGTGTTAAATATTAATTATTCTTTTAAAGTTGTTCCTGAAACGACACCGGAGTCTGATTTGCAAAGTGATACTGTAACGAAATTACCGACGGACGAGGAAACGGAGGTTCCGCCGCCTCCGGGTACAGAACCTTTACTCCCGATACCTGCGATTGGCAGCTCACCAGAAAAAGATAAGGAGAGGAGCGATCCTCCTAGTCGTGAGAAGAAAGAACGCGAGAACGATTATCCAGGGGACAGACAGTCCAGAGAACGTAGACGAAGTTTTAGCAGAGACGGTCACCGCGATAGGTAAATATCCGTTCAATAATGATATTATACTATACAATTATAGATCAGTTCAAGTAATTATAATATTACAGAAGTGGAGAGCGTGGTCGTAGGATAGAAACTTTACGACCAGTGAATCGTAGACGATCATTATCTCCGAGACACTCGCAACACAATGACTACGGTTCTTTGCCACACATGATGAATCCGCCACCAAAAAATTATCAAGGCATGCCGCCTGACGATGTACATTATCCACCCAACATGCATTACGACAATGCAATACGCAGATCAACCGAAGATCGTCCAGGCACTCCAACGGTAAGTTTCCTTTAAACACTTTTAATGAGCATATTTTTAAGTATCATTCATATTTCAGGTGGATGAACCACATTTACATGTACCGTCTTCTGGAAATCAGCCACCGCTATTACCTTTCCCACCGGGGGAAGATCGCATGCCGCAACCGAGCTACAATCAACCTCCACCTAACGTGCCGCATAATCCACCTTTGCTACCGGATCCATACATGAGTCATCGGATACCTTTGTATCCTCACCAACAAGGTTCTCACTACGGGCCTCCACGATACGAGAGGCCTCCTTATCAACAGCAAGGATACAGGCCGTCTCAACCACCTCGCAATTACAATGGACCACCGAGACCAATGAGAGGATTACATCATCGTAAGTAAACGATTTAAATCAACGATTTCATTTTGACGTAGTAGATATTTATAAATGCATTTCATTGTCTAGTGGGCTATAGAGGAATGCAGCCACCACCGCCAGGGTTGGGAAGAAACATTCATAATGGGAATCCACCTGGGTAATTTCACTTGAAGTCTCATCGTCCTATCGATTTAACCGGAATTATTATAATATCGATATTGCATTTCAGCATAATCGATGATCCATTGGAAGCATTCGAACGGATGCTGAGGGAAAAAGACGAGCGAGACAGGAGACTTGGGAAACACAGAAGAAGGAGTAGAACACGTTCGAGGTCTCGTAGTTATACAAGATCTAGGTCACGTTCGTTCGGTCATAGATCGCCGTTCCCTCCTCGATTGAGTCGATCTAGAAGCCCTCCCTCGAAGAGAAGATCCTCGAGGTCGCCTCTACCTCTCAGAGGCCGCAGCCGTACCCCAAAGCGTCGGTCAAGGAGCGGAAGCTTCTCGATCAGCAGGTAAGTAAAACTTACCATTGCACTATTTTACTACGCTTTGGTAATGTTATTACAACCGATGCATTTCTTTTATAGATCTAGATCCTACTCGCGCAGTCAGTCCCCTAGATTATCCCTGTCCCGAGACAGGGACAGGGATCGAGATCGTGATCGCGACCGAGATCGTGATCGTGATCGCGACCGCGATCGTGACCGTGATCGTGATCGTGAACGGGAGCGGGAACGCGAGCGTGAACGTGAACGGGAGCGTGAGCGCGACCGCGAACGTGATCGTGAACGCGATCGGGAACGCGATCGTGAACGTGACAGAGAATTGCTTCCCAGATACAGATCACCGGCTAGATCGCCTCCGAGGTAAGTAGTACTCGTTCATTTTCAATCGTAGTTAAAGATGTCGATTTGCTGACGTTAATTTTTGATCGATCACGGTTTAGGTTTCAAAGAGAGAGGGACAGAGATCGGCAGAGATCTCGCGAGCCCAGAGAAGGGTATAACAGTTACTATAACGATTCGCCGGCGCACGATTATCAGTTCAGAGATCGTGAGAGGGATTTACCTCCTCGGGACAGGCCGGTCCCGAGATATCCAGTAAGGAACCAGCCAGCTCAGCATAATATACCACCGTTGTTGCCGCATCTAGTCGCTGGAAGTCATCCGCCGCCGCTTATGTCCTTGGGACCTCCAGCAACGGACAGGAAAGACTATTATGATTCCTACAACAGGTATTTCCGCCTCAATAGTACTTTAATTCATGTACACGCTAAGCAGACAGTCTGCCGTATCTTATGCTGCTGCCCCGGTTAAGACTGCACCGGAGTTTTATGGTGAATGTAAACGGGAGCGAGATGATAATATCACTTCTATGATCTCTAGACGGAATGTATACGAGCACGTATCCTAGCATATCTCTTTATATGTGTATGTATAAAACCCATACATATACATATATATGTGTTTAAAAAAAAATACGCGCGCGTGCACACGTACACTACATGCATACGTAGACGCAAAATAGTTGGATAAATCGATACGATGCATAAGAGAACTGTGATGACACAAGGCTGTGATATATAAAAAATTCTTCATAATGAACAATCGTTATGGAGTATTCATTTATGCAACTATTTAAGCGATGTTATATTTTTGTTATCCGAAGAGTGATACGTTATTAGTAGCGTGCTGTGAGATATCTGAGTATGGATTGATATAAAAAGTGATAACGCCGGATTGTAAAGAGTCTTAACTTCCTACGTACTTGTACTTGATTAAGTATTAATTCGGTTTCATCCATCTGCATTCATATGATTAAATACTCGATTATTTGACAAATGAAATAGTAGGGCATCGAAGGGCAACGTTACGTTAATAAATAATTACGAATTAAAAATTAGTTTGTAAATATGATGACTATCTCGTTGATTGAATAAGGAACGGTCGTTTCTTAAGGATGTATTGGCTATACAGTCAATCCCAAAAGTTTATGGACCTTAGAAAAACGCATTTCCTATAATTAAA